GGGGGGGGGGTGGACAGATTAAATCGGCGCGGCGCGATTGAACCGACGGAACACCTTGACTAGCGCGTGCAGGACGCGTCCTATAAAGTATGATAATACATTAAAAGCATTAAGCGGTTATTAGCATAATTGCGTCGAACCCCCCTCCCCCCTCCCCCCGTCCTTCGCGCATTTAATTCATTTTCTGGAAACCCTCGCGAATGTATAAATCAAAGAGAGACTCGTACGCATCGCGCGCGCGCGCAAAAGTCACCGCGTTATCTTGTTGTCGGATGTGTCTGGTCTCGATTGTTTGAAATTAAATTACACTATTTTTTTTCGCTCTCGTCGATAATCGAGCGAAATGATAACGCAAAATGTATAAAGCTTTGATCCCGTCCGGCATAATAAGATTCCACAGTTAGCCCAGAGAGAAAGAGAGAGAGAGAGCATCCTCTCGATATAAAATATAAAGATGCCAAAAGCAATAATTATGTCGAGTAATTAAATACTGCAAATTGCGCGCACGAGTGCCGCGGTCATTGTTAATCAAGTACGGCCCGAGCGACCTTTATAAACACGCGGGATTTGCGCAAAAAGACCAGAATAATGACGTAGTTAATTGCGGCTAAAAGTAATTTGTATCAAAACAAATGCAATATGCGCGCGGACCTTAACACACGTGAAATGTTTAACAGACTTTCCGTTCCTCGCAGGAGACCAAGAGGCCGTCGAAGGAGATGCAGGTGACAATCGCGAGGCAATTGGGCCTGGAACCGACGACGGTCGGCAACTTCTTCATGAACGCCCGGCGCCGCTCCATGGACAAGTGGAAGGACGAGGACCCGAAGACGGTCGCGGTCGAGGAGGAACAGTTGTCGCCCACGATAGGAGGGATCGGCCAGCGCCAACCGAGCGACGTTTTGTGACACACGTCCGACCACGAGGAGTACCACGACGAGTCGCCCGACGAGGACCTGCCCTTCTCGTAAGGGCAGCGTACTACGTCGCGGACGTATCCTCGCCGACACGCTCGGGCCTACCGTACGACGGTCTCTCGACGCGCTCCCCGCGAATTTTAACTCTTGACGATTCATCTCTGCGATTCAGGATACTGTTGCTAATTGGCTGTTCGAGATACCCGCTTATATCGGTTGACCAAAACTCGAGAATCGTTTTATTCGCTCGATTCACGAGACCACGTTGAACTTCTCGATGGACAACTTTGGGGCAAAGTATGATTTTCAGAATTTTTCATATATTTCGGCGACTCTCGCGGTCGTCCGAGATTAAACAGTTTACGAAAGAAAGAAAGCGGAGACGTGAAATTTTATTATCATTTTATCGCGCGGGCCGCGCGTCAACGATCGTCTTTGAGGCTCGAGCTGCGTCGAGCAGGAGCGTCCTAGCCGCTGAATGCGAACGATCATTATAACTCCCGCGAAGCGATCCAGATTAGATCTGCCATGGTCTTGCGTTTTTTCTTTCTTCTTTTTCGCCTTTAGGCTTAGTGCGTTCCCAAGTATTTGCGATCGACAGATTGTTCCACGTTGAAGCTTTTTAAAACGATGTTCGAAGTCGAGAAACGGACGGGTCGATGTCCAGGTGAAGGAGAGCTGGAAGTTGTCGATTACAATGGTTTTCTACTTACTTTGTCACACGAGAGTTACCCGTACATATATCTATATGTATATATATATATTTATTATTCTCTCACACGCAATTTGTCTGTCACAGTGAACGAGCCGTGCCGTAATTTTAAGGTCGCAACTTGCGTGCGACAACGACTCGTCCGCGTATCTCGACCTCGGGCACCTCGCAAACTTCGTGCCATAGTTTGCCATATTAGCATAAGTTAATCCGCGACCCGGCGCTCCGCGCCCGATTCTTAGCGTTCTAGTCCATTGTAATAAGTTCCAGGAGGACCTTGCCCGTCAAATCGAGGCGGCGGTTCCTTTCCTCTAGTCAAAATGCAGAAGCTCCAGTTCCGAATCCGCCCTCCGCGAAGGGGGGTCGTTTCGAAAGGGCGCACGCATTGTTGTTTTATTTGCTCCCTCTTCCTTTTGCGCAAATCGCGCTGCAGTTACGTGTTTATTCGCCGTTTAATTTAGTGAAGCGGGGCTCCCCCCCACGGAGCCCGGTTCCTGTTACCTTTCTTTTCTTGTTTAAAAGTAGAACCAGTCGCTGCTTTAAGCGGACCAGCGGATATCGCGGGGGCGAATCGACCGATCTCTTTCGCAAGGTCGTATCTTGATTTTACACGATTTCCGGTTTTTCGGTTTAAACGCTCATTCTCGTCCTGGATGGGTGTCCAAGCGGAAAGACCGAAAATTCCGCAAAATCGACCTCGCGAAGGAGAATCGGTCGAAATGTCGAATGACCGCACGGAATTCCAAGCGCTCTGACAATCGCGGGCGAGTAAATACTTAGAAGAGTCCGTTTTCCACTTTTTCTTAATCCTCGAGACTAGCCCTCAACCCTTGCCGCGCAGTGCGGTGCGAAAGTTCGAAGGAATCTCCGATCGAGATACGTCACGAGTTAAAGCAGCGACTTGGCGCGGCGATTTGAAGGAATTTCTCCTGTTGCGTGCGTTAACGACTTTGTTTGAGATTACGTACATTTTATTTCGCATTTTATAGACGTTGCGTCTCACTGATTTATAAAAAAAACTGGCGGTTTCGCGATACCACGGGGGGGGCCGTAATTAAAATCGCGAATCTCTCGACGCGCATCGCGTCTTTTCCTCGGTGGTTCGAAACCTCGAGCGGTAGCGGTAATCCAGTTTGAAATTGTGAAATTTTATTTCCGCGTTGGCGGATCGTGCGATTGAGAGAGAGAGAACGCCAATTTTTTTTACGCGCCCCTTGCGTTAACGTTGTTATTAAAGCGAATCGAACCCCCTTGTGGGATTAATCGGCGTTTCTCCACGAATACGGTTAGCGGTGAGATCCGATGATGATCGCGCAATCAGCGGCGCGCTAAACGCGCGACCGGGCTCGTCGTGTCCTCGTTGGTCAGACGAAACGTGAACCAATTTTCAAAGTGGCTTCGTGTGAGGGTACACGTGCCAAGTGATATATATATGTATGTATAAACATGTATATCAGAGAGTGGACACTCTTTTGTGCGAACCGATGGCGGGAGGGAGGTTTAGTGAGGAAAGGGAAGAGCGGAGGGTGAGGGAGAGCGAGAGCGAGAGCAATTTTTAAAATGGGTGGCTGCACCGCTGTGTACGAGAGACAGAGACAGCGAGAATGAGTGAGAGCCTGTGAGAAAGCAAGAGAGAGAAACGGAGCGAGAGAGAGGGAGAGAGAGAGACTTTAGCGAGCCGCACTCGATATCGTACTGCAATTGTGCTGTGCTATTGTACATACTTAAAAAAAAAGAAGAAAAAGAACAAACACGTACGTATACAGATAGATATAACACGTACACACTTTTATTACGTAAGCGGCGTTCGCTAAGCCGGGCGAAAACGAATCGGTGTGACGTTTGATTGCAGAAAAGTGCATTCTAGCCGACTTGCACTTCGCGTCTGTGGCTCCTGCGTAGCGAGAATTCTTTTGTGCTTCGACACACAAACACATGTACACTCACACATACACACACACACACGCGCGCGCGGATATCACGTACATCGACGCGACGTCGCGACGTGGCGAGCGATCGGTTCTGCGAGATTTCGTTGAACGACATTTTGTATCACGCCCTTCTACTTTTTTTTGTACGATCGCGAGAGGATCATTCATGCTAGTCGGATTAATCGTACAGAATTAGTCGCGAGTGAACGCCGAGACTCGGTCGGAAATTGACAAAGACGATCCGGGGGTATCGAGGGGCCGAGCTGATTACGAAAATTAATTTGCTGCGCGCGCGCTCCATCGATTCCATGACAATTAAAATTGTTTTGCCCGTGATCCAAAGACCTTGTTAAAAAAAAAGTTTATGTCAGGAAGAAGATTGGACGGAGCATTTTGATTATTTCTCGATCGCACTTCGGGTCCAAATGAACGGAACAAATAAATGAGACGCGCGCGACCGCACTGAATTGAACGAAATGCGTTTCGAAACGCGCGGTAAGCTCTCGATACGCCTGGGATCGGTTTTCTCGAGGAGGCGCGAGAAGATCGCCGCCGTCGGCGAGTTCGTAGGGTGATGCGATCATTCGTCCCGCGGGTGGAACGTCTCTTTTTCGCACCCGAACGCCCGTTCGATGTTCGTTCGGCGATGTTACCTACGGCATGTTACTTAATTTATTATATTTTAGGGTAGAAAGAGAGAGAGAGAGAGAGAGAGAGAAAGGATGCGCGCGGCGCGTTTGAAGCAGCTTTCGAAAGATAAGTCGGCAGTTCGTCATCGAGAGAAAGAGAGAGAGAGAGAGAGAGCGTGTAATTTATTGTGTAATATTTTGTAAAGTTATATCGAATCCCCTTAGTGTGCATGGCGACTCGAGGTATGTTACCGCTTTCGTGCAACAACAGCAACAATCTCCTCTCTAAAGAATCCGAGTACACACCGATACACGTTTACCCTTAACGTTGCACGTCGATTGATTAGCATTTCAACCGCTGCTCTGATTATTTATTATTAATTTATCACATACGACGTCTCAAATAAACGGTCATTCAAAGCGAGCATCGCAGTTCTGAGTGTTTGGAGACTTGAGTGCTCCGTGCTGGAAAAATTGAAACCCAAATGGCGAATCGGCGGTCGGCTCGACGCGGAAGGGAAAAAGGCTCGCATCCGCCTCCCGCCTCGAGGGGAGCCGCGTTTTGTCCTGGTCGTCGGGCGAGAGGATGCGAGGTCTCTTCCGGGCGCGAAGATGAATATCCACGGTACCAAGAGAGATGCGAGCGGCCTCCTCGGTCGTCGGTTTAAGATCATATATAGTACAAAGTAAACATATATATATATATATATTATTGTAATAACAGTGTTTAATTATATATAAGATAATATATATAAGAGAGAACGTGGCGTACGCGTCGCGCTGTTTTCCGAGGAGGAATGTTCAAATAGGACTCTGTGTTAAATTGTGGGCGAGTGGAAGGGAGGCAAAGAGAAACGCGGGATCAATGGGGGGCGTCGAGTTCTCTCTCACGGGAGTCCCACCCTCGTTGGAGACGATTGGGTCACGTTGCCAGGCGCGATAATCACGACAAGGTGCAAGAATTCCGACGGAATTTACCCCGCGGTCGAGCGCGGATGGACCGAGATGCTCCTTCGCGTTCCTCTTCACCATGGCGATTCGGCGAGCTCGCGATTGAAAACGAGTCGGTTGGCGGGACGTGATCGACCATATAGTTTTCATCTTGGCAATCTGGATGACGGATGTTGACGACTTGACTCCAGCGTTGAAGCCCTTCTAAAAGATCTCTGCGAGAATGTTTGCATTTATTTTGTTACGATTTTTCTACAAGTCCCGCGAGGGAGCTCGCGCTCCGATTGCTCGGGGGAAAAATTGCGATTGTTGATGATTTAGCGCCGAGACGAGGGGAACTGTGGCTCGACCCGCGACGAAGACGGAACTCGGAACTCGTCATCTGGTCCTGAGGATACGCGCGAGGCACATTATACACACACACACACACACACACACACGCGTGCACGCGGGAGAGACATACACATATACACGGCGGATAGGATCGATGATGTACGATAAAGGTGTAAATACGACTTTAGTCGCGAGAGGAAGATTTATTATCGCTACAATTACTGCATTACGATGATTATTAATTGCCGCGCGCGACGGCGGGCGTGTGCGCGAACATGTTTTTGTTACACGAGAGAAGAAATACGATGCCGTATAGCGAGGTAGGCAGGGGAAGCGCATACATCGCGTAGAGAACGGGGGCGAGAGGGAGATAGAAAGGCCAGAGGAAAGGGTGACGAAGAGAACGTAGAATATACATATATATATATAAATATATATAAACATAAATGCAAATATAAATATAAATACAGATATAAATATAATATAAATGCAAATATGAATATAAATATGGACATAAGTATAAATAAATTATATATATATATATATAAAATACGGATATTATTACCGCCGATCACGGCGGACGGTGTTGATCGTCGCGGGGGCGATTATCGAGCGATCTCCAAGTCGATCGATCGATAACGACTATTGCGCGTCTAAAATTTGAGCGTGAAAGTGCGAGAGAGCTTGTGCGAGAGTGCGAGAGAGAGAGAGGGAGAAAAGAAGAGAGTGCGAGAGAATAAAATTCGATGATCTATTTATATATTGCGCTGAGAGGGGCTCGTCTCGATAGTTACATCGTTACGTGACACATATCCAGTGGATTAGAAACTATCGACGACGACAACGTACAATATTAGGTGTCTATATCGATCTAGTTTCCACCCCACTCGCAGAGAATTTTCACTTCGTTTTTCCACGGACAGGGGTAAAAGGGCGAATCGGCGGAATGTGACGGAATAAAAGGGAACAGGAGCAAAAAGACCCGGAAAACAAAGAGGCTCGACGCGATTTTTCTCGGGGCAGGAGAGAAGTCCGTTGCTTTCGCCCGTTCGAGGCTAAAAAGGGGAGACAACGCGACTCTAATTTTTCACTCTCAAGAACTTTTCACCCCCCCCCCCCCGTAGAATGAAGGAGAGAAAGAGAGAGGCAGGCTACGACCTACATTGTGACTGCTATCTCGGCTCGTCCGGTTTTTCATAAATAAATTACGATCGAGGGGAAAGAGACAGAGAGGGGGCGGAAAACTGGACGGAGCGAGGGAGATTTCTCGGAAGATTCTCGGGATGTCGTTTCTCCTCTCGAACGGGACGAAAAGGAGCCGGAGGATGGAAAGAAAGAATACACGAGAGCAGTTTGTACGACAATAAGGTATCGATTAGTTAATCAGAGACGAAATAATGTAAAATACAAGTGCAAAAGCAGGTATACATTATTATTATATTTATTGTAACGCGCGAGGTTTTCGCGGCGTATACGCGCGCGGGGCTGCCGGTCCACCCTGCCGGACGTAAAGGGAAAGGGTGGACGGACGGTCGGCCACAGTTGGCGCGGGACCGATGTGTCGGGGGCTCCGGTCGGAAGTTCGGAAAGATCGGATTCGTGGACGAGGGACAGCGTACGTAGATTCACGTAGAGTAAACGCGCGTTAAGTCGATCACTTCGTTGTCATAATCTACTCCTCAGGAAAGGAAGAGCGAGAGAGAGAGAGAGAGAGAGAAAGGGATAATCCTGTCGCGAGGATAATCTCGCCCACCGAGTAATCGCGATTAACACCTCAAGCTCGCGACGGCAGCCCGACCGCGATGTATCCGCGATCGTGGGGGAGGAGGACTTGATGTCCAAGGGAAGAAAAAGCGAACGGGAGGTTGAAGTATTTAGTATTCCCGGTGACAATGTTACGAACGAGAAACTCGGGTTTGGGGTGTTAACGGCAGGATAGCGGGAATCGATCGGGAGTGTCCATCGCGCGTGCGTGTGTATGTGCGTGTGCGTGTGTGTGTGCACAAGTCGAGCGAAATTGCGACGAGAATGAGAGCGCGAGAGCGTGTGTGTGTGTATGAGAGAGAGAGAGAGAGAGGGCGAGTCATTAATTTATTTATACGATTACGTATATCCGTTAGTAGAGGCAACCAAGTGTGGTTACACGAGCCCGAGCGACGTCTGTTGTTGCGACGGCTCGCGGTTCGTGCCATTGAATTTTCTTGCGCGGTCGACGGGCCGACGATCGATACTTGTGAAAATGACGGGATCGAACTCGCGAACTGTAAGGGCGCGCGAATCCCCCGGCACCGCGAGATCTCCCCTTGCCCCTTGGAGGGACCCACTTCCCTCTTTACGGAAGAGCCGTCGTCGCCGCCGTCGCCGTCGTCGTCGTCTTGGCGATCGGCGGATCCTCCACCGACGACGTTTGAAAACTTGCGCGGAAACGGGGGGAGCGACGGTTCGATCCCGGCATGTACCGAGATGTGTAATTATGTAATAGACACACATACACACACATTTACGCATCCGCGATCGGGGGCCGCGAGGAGAGGCGATTGTAAACTACTGTAAACTACAATGTTACTACGTTTTACCAAGAGCTTATTGTAGTCGAGAATCATTAAATACACACAGGAATACACATACACACACACACACACACACATACACACAGGCGCGGACACGCATACACATTAAGTCGTACAAGAAAATAAAACAAAAGACAACAATGGTATTGAGTGTAGCACGAAAAAAAAAGAAAAAAAAGACAAACGTTCTTTACACTTTTGCACGAGACGTGTGTTGTAAACTTAAATTAATTATCATTGACATATGTAATTAACGTTTTATTACTTAGCAATTAAACTTAATTTATTTATGATTACTCGAGTCGCTTGTGTTGACGCCCTTGTTGTTATATTGCGGATCGTGTGCAATCAGTCCGTGGGACGGTCGATCCTGGCGATCGCAGGCAACTACGATAACGCTTCGCCGATAGAACGTCACCGATGGCGTTCGCGTCCCGTCGTTTGCAATGCTGCAAACCTTTAGAGCACTTTGTACCGTTTCGTACAGGATTGTCTTTTGCAATTGCCCTAGGAGATATTCAGGAAATTGTCAATCCGTTAAGTTCTCGCAATAAAATTCTAACAGAAAATCAATTCGAGTGAGGAGTGAAATGTCAACGGAAGAAAACAAATAATCGGCAGCGAAACGAATGAAAGAGTGCCATTAAGCGCGAAATCTGATCTGGCGGCTTTTATCCCGCCTTTGTTAATTACTCGAGAGCCTTCAAGCTTGTTTCTCTTCGACAACGTTTTCATACCAGAGGACGCTGGGAAACCCTTTAATAAATCCAATTAACGGATTAATTATTAACTCGTGACAGTACCTATACGAAAGCATCAGTTTTCTTTGGCGAAGGTTGCTTCTAGTCATTTAGTCGTCTAATATGTGGGTAAACATTCTCAAGAAATAACGTAAAGAATTACTTGACGCCAGCACGTGATTAACCGATGTAGAAAAATTATTAAACGACGCTACCTGGCAAATTCTAATTAAAGAAATTGATTGCGAAAAATATTACCTCAGCCAGGGTTTGAACCTGGACTTCCCCACACTCTAGGCGGGTGTCTCACCAATTCGACCACTGAGTCATGCCTAAGTTAGTGTCGTTTAACAATTTTTCTACATTGATTCTCAAGAATTATTTGACGCCAGTACAAGATTAACCAATGCAGAAAAATTATTAAACGACGCTACCTGGCAAATTCTAATTAAAGAAATTTATTGCGAAAAATATTACCCCAGCCAGGGTTCGAACCTGGACTTCCCCACACTCTAGGCGGGTGTCTCACCAATTCGACCACTGAGTCATGCCTCAGTTAGCGTTTAACAATTTTTCTACATTGATTCTCAAGAATTATTTGACGTCAGTACAAGATTAACCAATGCAGAAAAATTATTAAACGACGCTACCTGGCAAATTCTAATTAAAGAAATTTATTGCGAAAAATATTACCCCAGCCAGGGTTCGAACCTGGACTTCCCCACACTCTAGGCGGGTGTCTCGCCAATTCGACCACTGAGTCATGCCTCAGTTAGCGTCGTTCAACAATTTTTCCACATTGATTCTCAAGAAACTCTATGGAGCCAAACTTCAACGGAGGAGTGACAATGCTTGCTTTTAGAGCTAGAGACGTTACTAATAGAATCACACGGAGGATCCGTCTCGACGAGCGGGACGGACCCGTCCACTATCGCGCTTTCCTTTCGTACGGAAGCGTCTCAGTTAAATTTCCTGCCGCGCGTTGGCGACGCTTATTTGTGATACACACACACAATGTCCGCGATCATCGCGAGATGTAGCGTAGCCCACACTCGTAAATCGCGAGACCGGGCCACCCGGCATCGTATACATAAATAAACAACCGTAGTCCTGACGTATAGATTTTTATATTTTCATTTAGTATCGAATTAGTCTAAAGGCACTGGACACTTATACATAGATATATAGATATTATATTTATACGAAGACCTAGCTATTACCAACCGAGAGAGAGACTGAGAGAATAGGAGAATGTGCGAGAGAGAAAGACAGCGCGAATGGGGAATATCGGCATTGTACAATACCCAGCTGATTAAACTAAGATCACGAGGGAAAGGAGCACGATCGATCTGTAAATATGTCGATCCTAACGTTCTTTTATAATTTGGACCACTGAACGGGAAACCCGACCGTGATCTCCGGCGCGGCGGGCGCGCAACTTTGGAGATGTCGTTAACAACGATGTTCTTTCGAATTCCATCGCTTCGTGACGGCGCGGAGCAGTTTTCATGATCTCGCGATCTCAATCGCGAACGCGTCCGGCACGCGCGACGAAAGCATGCTGTCTCGTGACGGCGCGCTTTTAAGTTCGAATTTTCGAAACTTCGAAGCACGGAATCCCGTTCGCGACTTCATGAAAGTTGATCTTGATCGCGCGATCCAGGACGATCCAGGAGTCGGAAATGCCTGAGGATCGAGGAAGAGGACGGGAGGGAGAGCGGAAGTTTCGATTTGCGCCCTCGTCGCGTAAATTCTACTATTTGTTTTCCGTCGAGAGCCACGCGTGCATTAGCCATCGTGAACGAGTGAAAGAGAGCGGAGTGAACGAGAGGCGAGAGCGAGTGACGGCGCGTAGTGAAAGAGCACACACCATGAAATTGTTAAAACGTAAAGTAGAGAATAAACGAGCAATAAAGTGTACCGAGTGACTAAAGCCTTATTGCGGCGGGGACGCGCGGCGATCTGAATGCAGAAGAGGGGTAGGAGTATTGCGCGGCTTTTACAGTTTTTAGGAGAGAGGGAGATACCACTGCCGTCGGCTCTTTCTTCAAAAGTGTCGATCTTGTGCAATAAATTTATTAGGCCCTCAACCTTTCGTAAGAGAGACAGGAGTACCTTCATCTCTTCGATCAAACGGTATACATTCAATGCGTCAGCTTCGAACTATACAAAATAAAATTCTCGTTATAAAAGTAATTAATGATTCTTGAGACAAAAAGAAGTTGACGGTGACAGTACAGCGGAAGCGTGTCGAACGCTCGTAAGTGTGAAAATCGATGGCACGTTGCTTGTACAAAGACAGTCTTATCATTCGGACACTCGAGCCGCTTATCCCGAGAACGCGGCGATACCGGTGATCGCTCTCCCGAGAATCAACGCGTGAATATCGTTTGTACCTGCGAAAGAGAGAAAAAAGAAACGGTAACATAGTCTCGAATGACGCGATTGATTAACTACTATGAAACGATCGCCGGGTCTTCTCGCGTACCTTCGTAAGTGTTCACCGTTTCCAAGTTCATCACGTGCCTGATCACGTGGTACTCGTCCGAGATCCCATTTCCGCCCAGCAAGTCCCGCGCGGTTCGCGCGATCTCCAGCGCTTTGGCGGCCGAGTTTCTCTTTATGATGGAAATCATTTCCGGCGCGGCTCTACGGCACGTAAAATCATTTCCTGCCTTTCTTACAAGCGCGCACATATTGCGCACACATCGTTGTATATTATGTATATTAGCAGTATACAAACACAATATATTATAAAAATATGTTTTTTATTAATAATTATTATATATAGAGTGTTATGTAATGCCCGCCTCACCTCTTATTTGCGGATAGGACGGACTATACGGAGTCGAAAAGTCCTCTACCATTTTGCAAGTTTCGAAATAGTTAGCGAGATATGAATTATTAAAAATCGCTGTCTTAGCCCGGCCTACCGCCCAATTCAAGCGCGCGGCGAGTTGCGGCTGTCCCGCGATTGGCGTTGCTAGCGCCTGGCAACGCCAATCGCGGGACAGCCGCACCTCGCCGCGAGCTTGAATTGGGCGGTAGACTAGGCTAAGACAGCGATTTTTAATCATTAATAACTCGTTAACCATTGCAAAAATTGCAAAACGTTACAGGACTTTTCGACTCAGTCTAGTCCGCTCTATCCGTAAATAAGAGGTGAGGCGGGTATTACATAACGGCGGGTAAACACCCTGTACATACGCACTACTTAACAAAAGTATGCGCACATTCCTTAAAAGTGACGTGACATCAGGAAGAAATAAAAGTGTCACAGTTCGTTAGATTATTTGCAAAGATGGATCATACATGGTTTGGATCAGAAATCGAAAAGGAATATGAAAGCACGTAACAAAAGGATTGGGATTCCTCAATTTTGTTACTTTCAGCGCTTTGTTCAAGATCGCTCTTTTCACGCCGTAGATTTTCAGTACGCTCTCTACGACCGTCGTTTTTTTTCTGGGTATAAATTGTACCATAACACAAAACTGTATTCTTTTCGTTCAGCGGGAATTTGTTAAACTTTTCTGCAGTAACGCTTTGTGTTTCCGAAATAATTTGGGTTAAAAGTTATCAATTTAATGCGAAGAAAGATTGTGGATTATTAGTAGAAACACACGTGCACAAGCGTGTATTTTGCTGATTTTGAAAGGTTCTTCATTGACTAATTTATAATTTACACGAAAATACCCAGACTTTTGTGAAGCAGTGTATATGTACAGCATAAATGACATTACATAACTGCGGAAAAAGGATGATTGATCAGGGAACACAAAAATATGATCAGTCTTCCTAGAAGAGTGATAAAATATTAGCTCTATATCCTCGGGATTGGATCGCGTCATTGTCTCTTCGCTCGAGTATTCGAAGCGCATCTTACCTGTTCTCGTCCTTTAGTCTACCGACTCGCAAGCACGCCTGAAGACCGATCGCGACGTCGCACATCATGTCCGCCAGTTTCTTCTGCACGAGCTGATTCGCCGCCAGCGGTCTTTTGAACTGATTCCTCTCCAGGGTGTAAGATCGGGCGATCTTCAGGCAGGCCTCCGCCGCGCCAAACGCGCCCCAGGCGATACCGTACCGTGCGTTGTTCAAGCAACTAAACGGTCCCTTTATCAAGTACTCCGTTATTAGACATCTTTAAGCTACGCAGCGCACGAACCCGCGCGACGACCCCGTTTTTTTTATTGTCATTGACTCCCTTTTTAATAAATAGTCTTAGCAATATCAGTGACTGTTTAACAAAAATATGTAGCATCTGGGCTAAATTCCTCTGGTGATTAACAGACTTACTTTGAGTCCCTGAACGTTCAATAAATTTTCCTCCGGTACGATCACGTTATCCATCAGGATCATGCCGGTGATGGACGCTCTTAAAGAAAACTTGCCCTCGATCTTTGGAGTGGACAATCGATCACCAGCAGTTTCCCTCTCGACGATGAACCCGCGGATCTGACCGTCGTCACATTTCGCCCATATCACACATACGTCGGCGATGGGCGAGTTTGTGATCCTAAACGAGATTCGACATTGTGACCCTCACTCGAACGCAAGAAATGTCTTCTCTTTTTGAACGGCGGACAGTACGCTATTGCGAGAACTAACCATGTTTTGCTGCCACTCAATCTGTAGACCTTTTTGTCGGGATCGTAAACGGCCCTGGTCTCCATGGATCCCGGATCGCTACCGTGATTGGGCTCAGTCAGGCCGAAGCAGCCGATCTTTTCCCCGGAAACTGAAATACACTTCGAAAGCTATCGCCTACGGCTCCAACGGTAAATGCCGTTTAATTCATTTCACTAGCGAACTTGTATTAATTTTATTAATTAATATCGATCTAATTTTGTAAGATAAGAGTCAAGTCTTTTATTTTCGTCGCTCTCGCAGTTTACGGAGATAAATAACTAAATACTTCCCTACAAAGCTCTAAGAATCTTGATAATGCTTTCGCAATTTAAAAACTAAACCGGGGAGCGTAATTTTATCCCCGAAAACCGCTTGCACGCACCCAGTTTAGGCAGAAATCGCTCCTTCTGGGTCTCGCTGCCGAACATATAGATCGCGCCGGCCGCAAGAGAGGACTGCACCGACAACGCCGATCGATACCCGCTGTCGACGCTCTCGATCTCCCTGGCGAGGAGCCCGTAAGCCACCGAGGACACCCCGGCGGCGCCGTAACCCTTCATGGTGCAGCCCAGCACCCCGAGCTGACCCATCTCCCTTATGATCTCCCGGTCGAAGTGCTCCTTGCGATTCGCCTCGATCACGCGCGGCAGGAGCTGCTCCTGACAGTAGGAACGGAACTGATCCCTCATCAGGATCTCGTCCTGCGTCAGCTGCGACTCCAGGTCGAACGGATCCTCCCAATTGAAGGCGGCGGCTGACCCACGAAATTCAGCAATTCAAATTTTCGAAATCCAAATTACGCGCCTGATTTAATTTCTACGGCAATTGCACAGCGAAAATATGCAATTTCACAAAAAAAATTTTTTAATAAAAGTTGTACGGTCTAGAGGGGAACATAAGATGGTGTCGTTAATTTGACCTTGAATAGTTGCTTGAAGGTCACGTGACGGCCACTTTCAATTTTTTTAATGGAACCCCCTATTGTTTGTTATACCATCTTATTCTACTAAATAATATGAACAACTTTTGTCTGAAACATTTTTCGATTTGCCTAACGCTTTTCGAGATATTCAAGAGAAAATTGATCACTTTTCGATATTTAGCTCATGATATCTCGATAACTGTTTGTCGGAGGGAAAAGTAGTACAGGACTTTTTTTACTTGATTTGGTCTCAGGAATATGCTGTTACAATAGTGCTCCAATTATTGAAAAGTTTTGTGTACTGTAACTCCTAATATGAGATAGCTGGGGTTTCTTTTAAATTAATAGGCATCTGTTTCCACCATGAATTTATTGGCCTTGGGGTGAAATCTGTTTAGTGGAAAATTGATTGCTAAATCGTGTAATCGTTGCGAAAGAAGATTCGTGATTGAATTTGAGCGTTGAAAACCCGCTATCTCATATTAGAAACCTATCTCGCGATAGAGGATCTTCCTCTATATTCTATCTCAAGAAAGCGAATTTCTCTCTCTCGTTGAATCCCCGTTTAGTGCAAACTGCGCGCGTTGCGTAATATCATAACGACACAAACGATAAAACGGTAAACAGCTTTTATCAGTTATCAGTAAAGATGAGATAGCAAGATCGCGTAATGTCGGCGGAACGAACTACCGGCTGAGTCGCGCCTCTGCCTCGTGCTACCATCTACGTTTCACGTCAAGGCTTGTAGACCGTCAGTGTAAAACAGTATAGATCACGCGTCATGATTAAGAAGCTGTCCGCCTTGCGTTTGCCTGGCGCTTATAGATATGATTTACAATTAGGTGCGACTTACGTCTCCCTCGGAGCGTGGCGGAGGCGGAGATCTCTGATCGGGATTTAAGGACGAATATACAACGAGTTCTGGCACGATGACACGGTCTAACGGAGAGCTCAAAAATTTAGGTCCCTGACGGACTTCCAAAGGATACGCCTCGTGGAATTAACGCGGCACAAACGGCCGGCCCTCAACAGCAGTCTCTGCATATGGCTCGCCATGTTGAGCAACGACTGATGATAGCGACGGAACACCGACTTTGTTGATCTCGCCGAGAGAAATGCCCTTATCAATCGCGCCTGCAGGCGCGTTCACACCGAGCGACCGAGACTTCGGGCGAGCGTTTCGACATAAATACTTCATTCGACACCTCCGGTCAACTTGCCTCGACTATGTAGCAGCCGACGGCTAGTCAGCTGTTGCCGAGAGTATTGCGTGACTTGACACAGTGGTTCGCTGCGATTGGCTCCACAATTCGGTGGCAAGTTTAAATGGCCGCCGGTCTGTTACACGGAGGTCCTCGATATTTTCTTTTGTCAAGAGAACCATATTGAAATATTTGACCGAGGAGCCGAATAAGTTTTAATTTAAAAAAATCGCGTAAAAACATAATGCGTTAATTTTGTATTCTTTTATATTATAAACGTCCTACGCGGTGGATAAACCGCAGAACCAAAGGCATAATAATATACAGGGTGAAGCAATAAGTTCGTCCACCTCGAATACCTCAAAACGTATAAGTCCCAGAAGAAAATCTCTCAGACAAAAGTCGTAGGGAAAAGTAGTACAGGACTTTTTTTACTTGATTTGGTCTCAGGGATATGTTGCAATAGTGCTCCAATTATTGAAACTTTTTGTGTATTGTAACGTGCACAAAAATGGTTAAATATTTTACTACTTCACACGTTGTCGCTAAACTGCCAATAAATAGTTTAATGACAAATTCTCCTAACATTTTAAGAAAATGCCGTGGGTGCAAGAGTTTTCAAAGGACAGATCCTTAAGGATTAGGGCGGGGCTAGAATTTCGCACGCTTAGAATAAAAAATTGATCGATGAACATTTTTGTTTCAACTTCAAATTGACATTCGTTTTATGGAAGTAACCTTACTCACTCACTGGCAGATTATTTAAATTAAAAAGAGCCCCAAGTTCACGCTATCTTTCTCGTGTAAGTTCTACATTTTATTTGCAAAAGTTCTCTTACAGAAGATTCGTATGTACAACTCCTAAATTACGATGTCGTGGAGAAGCTTCCACAAATCGCGTCTACAACGGTTGCGAATGCAAAGGGGAAAAAAAATGATAGGATGGTAACGATGGCAAATATATGCCATGAATCTATAGAGTATTGAAAGTACGACAGCTCTGTGTTATCTTACCGTTTTATCAAGAAACATTGATTGCGCTTGTAACATTAATTGTACGATTGTACAGAAAGTGGACCGATCTTTCCTTCGGATTTTGCGTTCTTCGCTCGCGATAAACGTGTACCTCTCTTGCACATTTATGTATCTCTTATTATACAATTATTTTACTCCCCGCGTGTGCACTTTTTCCCCCTTCGATACCTCACATTCCCAATTAAGTTAGAATTTCAGATTTGATATTTTGCTGAACGGGTCCCGCTCGACGGCTCGCGCTTCCCGATCACTTCCCATTCGGACAATCGTCCTCACGTCCGACGAAGCACCAAGACCTGCTCGTCTTGGATTCACGAGCGGACGGCGAAGAGCAAACGACAAAAAGACTGGCCCGCGTAAAATATCGACTGGCCTGCTACACGAGCTCCTTGGCTCCCGATCTGCGACCACCCCGGGACATGCGCGCGCGAGTTAAAATTATTATACTCCTACAAGGCCAGCACGGGAGACCTTTACACTTACTAGTATAACTTAACAGCGGCTCGTCGCACGCTATACTGCAGATAGTTTAACGGGGGGAAAAAAAATTCTTTGACGCGCCATCACAACTACGAGCTACAAAAATACACCACCGCCCCGTGCGCATGTCGCCGGTGTCCTATCCTAGACTTTAGACCGTCGGCGTTTCTCGATACTTTACATCAAGATATTACGTAAAATTAATTACAGTGTGACACATCGCGCGCCGCGTCTCGCGGCAAGTATCTCTATATAATTAGACTCCTCTCGTCTCTCTCGCCGCTTAACTACGAACGCTATAACACTATCGACAAAGTAGTTCACGTTTCAGACGGATGCGGGGACCGCGCCGGCGGAAGGTCGCGTGCGACGGCACGCGAGCCCGACGGCGAGGGGTTGCGCACGCCGATGTCGCCGCTGGGATCGCCGAGTTACACGACCAGCAGGTCGTCCTTCTGGAGAGGGCCGTCCGGCAGCCTCTGATTGAATATACGGATATTGTAGCAGAGGTAACCCACCCCCTCCATGAGCGGTCGTATGATCGCCTGCGTCACCACCGCCAAGAAATTTCGCGTCGCCGCGCAAGTAATCTTCCATACGCGCAGACACGGCGCGAGGCACCAGATATGCTGCAAGGAATAGCAAAGGTAGAAGAATACACGGCTCGTTTAACGAGACCGGCGGAAATTTAGAGAAACGAGAAGCGCCCCGGAAAAACTTGGGACAACTTGAAAGCCTTTCCTCGGCTGCTCGATATCGTGAAAAGGGAATTGACTGCCTTATCTGTAACTGTTCTTAAATATTAGTCTCTTCAGCTATCGGTGTTTAATGAACCTAATTATTCGCGTAAGAATAAATATTGTTATCGAGTTTATTAAGACGAATTGATTAAGCTGGAGTTTGGCCGATGTCGTTTCGCGATCTTACGATCAGATCGATCTCGCGGGACCCGGAATCGATGGGTACTCTCTAAAAGTCAATCAGTGGATCATAACAGTTAACCAGAAAATGAAACAACAGGCCTGAAAACAATGAATAGTCACTGATCTACAGTTATAAGTACACTAGAGACCCTGTAATCCGAGACTGGCCGTAAGAGTTCCGTCAAATTCCCGCAAGATAGAGAGAGACATATCTCACTCTTCTACGATCGTTTGACAAACTCTTGTGGCCAGTCTCTGATTACAGGGTCTCTAAAGTACACCACTGCGACTTTCAGTGGTATACTCGTAGCCGCAGTGACTGTTCACTGTTATCAGTGATAATTCACCGATTGATTTTTCGAGAGTAGAAATCGGTGGGGACGGACGCGCGCGGTTTATCGACTCACCTGAAACGCGAGGCAGGCGAACGTGAAGCCCAAGATCAGAGCGAGCAGCGGCGCTACGAGAACGGAGAGGAGTATGTAGCAGCATCCCCTGGAGAGCCGGAAGCAGTGGCCGCTGAGCCGCCAGGCGCACTCGGGACTTCGGATCCCTTCCGGCTCGCCGATCACGTCGTCCCACATCACCTGCGTACCGATGCGTTTACGCCCGCGTGAGATCGACATCGATCGCGCCATTAATTCGACACGATGCATGCGTGCGAATGATCGTACGGTGGATAGGCGCGATTATTTTGTCTCGGGTAAAACTGTGAGCAACCGACGCGATAGTCAGCCCAAAGTCCCATTAGTCTACGTCGTTGGCCGTCGATCGATCAATTATTTCCGCGAAAACTGGTGGGCTGCGGCTTTTAGCGCTTTCGCTTCGCGCCGTTGCTCCGAAAAAATCCGGTAATTTAGGTTCAAAAGGTTTCAACGAAAGAGAATTCGTGAGCGATCAATCGTTTTCTCTAATGATTCCATTACGCAGCAAAGATGGAACTTGCGATTCGCAGTGCAATTCAAGCGATTACGACACAAAGATTCGTGCATTGGAGGAGATGGGGAGACGAAATGATCGATCGGGGAGCAGAAGCGACTTCACTTGTCATTCACTTCCGTCGATAAAAAAAAGCACCGTTGCATCAGTCATCAAACTTTCGGTGACGTGCAAGTATTCGCGAGGACAATTACGAGTTCCGATACACCGATCGCGGAGGAAGAGAGAGAGAGAGGGAGGAAGAGGGAGAGAGAGGGGGGCTCCATTTACCTGAAGATGCTGATTCAGGCTGTTGGGGTCCCGATCCTCGAGCTCCCCGGAGCTCTCGCCCGCCGCGGAGGACTCCGGCTTCTCCATCCCTGGAATACGGATAGTCGGGCACTTGGGCATGCCGCAGCGGAAGCTGTTCCTGAATCTCGCCAGCATGGTTCCCCGAGTCACGCTTGCCGTATTCCCGCCCGGGAGATCCCGCGAGTTTCACGCGCCGCCGGCTCGCGGCGGCATACGAGGACGAGGACGAGGACGAGGCGCGGCTTTCCCTGCCACGCAGCGCGTCACCATCGCGAAAATGACGACTATCGCGAGGGATACGTACCCCGGGTACACGTATCCATAGGCCATCGATTATTCCCGTTAAATAATAAATCCGCGCGCTACACTGGCTGCGACGGGCGAGCGGAATTGCCCGCCCCCCCTTCTCGATCGAGAGAACGGGAGGAGGACAAAAGGGTTGCGATCAAGGGTGCGCGATCGCGCGACCCTCGGCGACGTGCGGCGCGCGTCCGCCGATCACGCGGCCGAATGCGGGGGCGAATCTGGGGGGGCGCGTATTTACGTATAGCGTAATCGCGGGGTATCGATTCGAGACGCAACGGGGGCTACACTTTCAAACTCCCCTCGCCTTGACTTCAACTGTTGCACTCGGTAGCGGATTCTATAGCGGGACTTGCGGGACGAGGTCGCGGATTTTTTTTTATATACATCGGCACGTGGCGTCGCGACGTCGTCTCCTGCGAGGACGATCGGCGTAGCGAATTCTCTCGTCGTCTCGGAAAGAAAAACCGGATGTCCCTTGGATAACAAGTCGCGCGGATTATCGACGTAAACTTGTTGAATTGAAAAGATCAGCTTGAAAAAAAAACTATGCTCTGTTTAGCTAAACGACGCACACATGTCGCGCTAAAATCCTTTATAGACCCGAAGTCACGAGAGGGAGAAGAGCAAACTGTTTCATATTCCGTCCGTTCTTCAAGAAAAGTGAAGTGCCGCGTGCGCTTTACCGCGGTGACACGAGGGTGAGAAATGATTTCCCGGCGGATGTAAAAAAATTACGCGGATTGCGGAGGCGGTCGGGACAGAAACTAGACGTAGACCAGAAACTACGCGACACTACGACTTTGCCCTACTTCCTTTAGAAAAGTCGCAGATCGTATCTATTACCCTCTCCCCCTGCCCCCTCGTAAACGACCGACGGTCCGCGCTTTGCGTTTCGCGCGATTATCGACTCGCGAGAAGTTTTGACCACCGGAGTCTCCGACTGCTTCCGATTATCCATCGTCGCGGGAGTTTTCTTTATCGGGGGTCTTAGCGAACTTGTTCGGGAAAACCTACGGCGTTTCTCGGCCAATTAATAATAAATGCCTCCATTACACATGACGCGCCGCGATGCGTCCAACAACGACACAAAGTGGAGCTCGGCCGATCGAATTACTTGCTTCGTGTCATCAATTATTTCCGCGATTCTATTCCGACTCGCTACTCCTCGTACTTAACCATACCCGTCGTCTACGACGGAAAAAAAACCACTACGAGTCCCGGGGCATCCGGTTCTTTTCTGTTTCCCCCCCGCCTCGCCTGTTTCCAGCGAAGCCAGAGACCGTTCTCCATCGCGAGGGGCGACCCGACGGGGCTGCGAGATGTGACGGCACGCTGCTTCGGACTCGGGAGATCCGAGGGAACGCGGAATCTCTCCCGAGGGTGGGATCCTCCCTCGTGGAGCCCACGTCCTCGGGAAGAGCGCGCTCGCGGAAACGGATATACTTACTCGGTTCTCCGTTCGCCACCCTGGAGCCCCTTATTTTGCCGGTTGATCGTGAAATACTGGAGGTAAACCCTTACTGCCCGATTGCGGCTCGCGCGCGCGTCGCCTCACTTTTACGGTGGTGAAAGCAGTATTCGTGGTACACTTGGGCGCTACGCGGGTATAAGCAGGCAGGGGAATATTCCGGGGAATTCTGAGCGAGAGAGAGAAGTGGACAGCGGTCAGCGCGGCTGCGCACTGCCGAGGATTTCAACCCCTCGCGGCCGACCGGCCAGTGTTTGTTGATGCGACGGGGTACAACCACCCCGGAAAACGAAAGTGAACGGCCCGCGCGGCCGACGTAACAATCCCGATGTCGCGAAGAAAAAGTTTTTTTTTTACAATAACCCAAAGTGGAGAGAGAAATACCACACGACGCGACGGTTGCCTCAGTAAGTGTCGAAGTGTCAATATTTTTGAAGAAAGTTAATTCGCTAATTTAACCGTTTAAATAGTTTTACTTAAAAATTGTTTAAACGTTGAGTTTGGTTTTTTTTTACAAATGTTTAAGAAGCAAATCTATTCGTCTTTTCGTTCGTTGAAAATTCAAATTGAAGGTCGCGCGGCAAAAGAAATTTTTCTCCGATTCATCGCTGATATGACTCGATATTAATAGAGCGCGTTAATTATCACGTCGCAAAGCCAGTGCTGTTATCGTTGCAGATTATAAATAATACGCGCTTAATTATCAGGGCATAACATTTGAAATTTCCATCTGCAGCCAACAGATGGAGCCAATGGTCTACACATTGGAATTAACTCGCAACTTTACCAACGGATCGTAGAGAACAGTCGTTCGATGCATTTATACGGGAACCAATTTAAAAATTGTATATCAATTGCAAGACCTCGTTCACTTCTCATCCTTTTCGTCCTTTCCTATTACGTTATGTCTTACGCAATATTCCACGAAGGATGAAAATATAACTCTGTACTTAATATCGGAGAATTTAGAGATTTCTTTCATAATCAATTGTCGCATTACGTAGTAGGTTTAAAAGTTTCCGATCTAAGGAGACAAGAAAAGATAAATAAAATACAACCTTTGTTTCAATAAATTTTTATATACCGCTAAAACCGGCCAAAATTATATCACCTTTCAATTTCTGCGGCATTAAGTAACTGGTTTTAAAGTGCACGAATGAAAACATAGGCTACCTCACTCTTCTACGATCATACGAGTGAGATAGCCTATGTTTTGACGAACTCTTATGGCCAGTCTCTGATTACAGGGTCTCTAGTTCAACGAATCTAACAGCGCCAGACTTTTCCTTGTGGGGATTTGTGAAAAGCAAGGTGTACGAAACACGTCCAGCCACTATCCCAGAGATCCCATAGAACGTTCTACGTCGAGTAATGCATTCTCTTTCTACCAAGCTGGAACAGCGTGTGGAAAATCAGGGTGGACATCTCACGGATATTATTTTTCAAAAGCGAACCCCGTCATCCGAAACTCCATGCAATTTTGTATCTTTCAACCTGACTGGAACGTATCGTTGACCAAGCACACAGTGTTCAGATTATTCCAAAAACCGTCAGGTGTTTATGCCCCACCCTGTATTAAAGTTACATTCTTGATATACTGTTTAAAAGACCTACGTACGTAGTTTCCTTTTTCTTACTATCGCTGTAAAACTGACTAGAGGGGCGATCTTTAGGACTTTTGACACGCGTCTCGTCCCTGTCGATTGCGACGAAGATCGTCGAGGATCGGACGCGGACAATGCGGGGTAGCGGCTCGATCTGTGGATGACGGAGCGGGGAGACACGTGAATGGAGGCTGACGTCCGGGGTGTCGCGGTGGACATTCCGGCGCTTACAAATCGACTCTGGAACCCCATTGCGTAAGCACGACGGTCACGAGAGGCGTCCCGTGACACGAGCCATAACGGGTGCGCACTTTTGTCGCTCGTATAGGTGGAACAGTGCCATACAATCACCTCGTCCCCTTGTGATTTCGCGCCGGGAATTGCGGGAACGAGAGTTCGCAGCTGACGCAGCCGCGCCTCGATTCTCCCGCCTGTAATTCGCGTATAATCTCGCTCGCCAAACCGCACGACGTTAATTCCCGACGGAGTCCTGCGCCGGCGTTTTATCGCGCGTCGGTCCATCCGCTATTTCCCAAATTTATTCGAGCGCCTCTTCGGGCGATTCTGTTGACGCGTCACGTGAAAATCCATAACATTATTCGAAGTCTCGTATTTTCCACATAATCACTATTATTGTTATTATTTCATTATATATTAGTATTGTTATATCAATTCTACATTGAGAAAAATGTCCGATTAAATCGGACATTAAATATAATCGGATAATCCAATTACATAATAACAAACGGATATATCCAATTAAATTGTATATCCGATGAAAAATATGATCGGCTTGTCAACCAAATTTCATCGGATGTGTCCATAATTTAATCGGATAACGTAATCGGGAAAATTAACCATCGGGAACACTGTTTAATCGGTTTGTCCGATGGAAATTTTTCTCAGTGTATTAAACGCTTCTCAGCAGCATTCTTTGACGACTCACCTCATTTCTTAAAACGTTTTCCATCACGTTTGTCTTCGGTGTACATTACACCTTTTTCCTTTCAATAAAGTTACAATTATTGTATTTGACTTTATATTTTAAATGTAATTTGTTCAAAAAAAAATGAAGAGATTTCCGTATTTGCAAGATAGACAAGGACATTCGTGGATTAAAAACGATCGCTTGACGCCGAAAGGTTACCGTGCTGTTCAAAAAATGTATTCAGCTCTTCTTCCCGAGTTCTCTAAAGCGTGTTTGAACAGAGAACTAAAAACGAAAGCTATAACGGGCAACTGGCAAAGATAAGTGCTCGGGTTTCTCGCCGCCCTTCCTAGAAAACTATGAAATCCCCATTTTCTTACGTCACCCCCATAGCCGCTGAGTCACGCCGTTCTATCGCACCCCACGGGGCATCGTAAACATTCGCCACCCTCGTATTCAGGAGTCTCGGGCAAAATTGTATTTCCCGAGCGGCGCTCGGGTGTGCCTTCGAAACGTCAAGTGTACATAATGTTGGGAAGCAACTTATACAATCGAGAGCAGAAGGTACGTTCCCAGAAAGAGATCGATCTTCGGTGACGTGAATTAATTATTGAGAATTAAAATCACCCAACCAGTCCTTTCGCAAGTAAATTAGCTTCTGAGAATTAAGACTCTTAGATCAACTTTCTCTCTCTCTCTCTCTCTTCTGAAGAATCGCAGGCAACTGACCGTTTTTGTGGCAGGGTCGATTTTCAAAAATCAAGAAATTAAATCGGCCTCCTCTTGAAAAACCGCCACAGTTCTCCATGTTCGATTATTCGACATCCAGAACGTTAGACGCGGCGCCGCAACAGAATGTAAATCTGTTCCGTGGCGCGGCCGCGGACTCGCCAACCGTGTCAATATGTAATTCCTCCGGTTATGAAACGAAAATTTACGAGCACAAGGCCGCCCTGTGCCATTATCATAAGCGAAGAAATTAACGTAATCGTAGTCACGACGGCCCTTTCAATTCCCTCAATAGCGACGGCAACGACGACGGCGACGGCGACGGCGGTGGCCGATATATAAAACGTGTAATTCAAGATTTCCCATGGATCGGTTCGTGCTTGCGATCGGATCTGAATTGCGTCAATACGCGCGCGTTGCATAATGATCTGTAATATGGCATAACTCCGCGTATCGCACACACGCCCGTCGCGTTCACCATCGCGATATTTCTATTTCGCGGCGCTATCGACGGGGGTATCGCGATATTATCGCCGTAATGTGTGGCTCTTGGCCAACGATCAGCGATTTATCAAGCTGAAATTGTTACACGGGCGTTTCGTCGGACGTAAACATCCATCGCTGGGCGAGGTATTCTCTTCCCCGACGAGAACAATGAGAGCCCGTCCCGGACGAATGTTTAATTCACGTCGGATTTCAGAAACTTTTCACGTCGCGAATCTTGTACATTCTTACACTGAGAAAAACTTCCATCGGACGAACCAATTAAACAGTGTCTCCGATGGTTAATTTTGCCGATTATAACTTTTCCGATTAAATTATGCAAATATCCGATGAAATTTCATAGAAAAGCCGACAATATTTTTTTCATCGGATTATATTTAATCGGATATTTTTTCAGTGCATATTAATATGTATTTTATTATAGGTACACGGGCATTTTGCTTCTTCAATCATTTCGCGGATCACATGGCACGTAAAATTACAAACGGAATAATATTCCGGTTCTCGACGCGAATCGTTGGAGTTTGATATATAAACTTAACATCTAACCGAATTATTAGTTACTGTCACGACACGCGATACGTGTCCTCTGTAAATATGCCATGTCGAGAGGTGAGGATACCAAACACATATAAGATACACAAGTATCACACGTCGGAATCACTGTACGATCGAGTGTTAGCGTGCCAGCGTCTCGTCTTCGCCAGCGTCTGTCCAGATCATTCCGCCTCGCTCGATTCAGTTGCGATAACGCTTATTTGCATGTCATAGAGCTGTTCGTGAAACGAAAGGCCTGATATATTACGGATAAATTGTGCTACACACAAGTTGGACAGATAAATCAGAGAATTCGCAGAGGTACGAGTGTTTAATTATATTTGTTTTCTTCGTATCGCCTTGTTATATATTCAAGTCACACTTTCAGATGCTTTTTTATTGCCCGAGACCTAAGTATTTATCTGTTACAATAATTATTACGCTTTAACACTGCCTAAGATTTATATGTTGTAAATATAAAACAATCTTTAGTACAAGAAACATTTTGTTAAACCGTTACTTCGACCATTTGTCTATTCAACATGTAAAAAATGTCTCCGAACGTTACGCCCTTGTTCAATTTAACGCAAATTCCTTCCGATTGATTTGCCGATTCTTATCGAAATGTACATACGTGTGTTATCAGTGTCGAAAATATTTCAACTATTTCTTTGTGTGTAAACACAAAGGTTTGGCTACGGCTTCACGACATTTCGAATCCTCTCGCGCGACAGTGCTACCACAAAATAATATTCCGCGATAAAGCAAGAATACGAAATACTTTCGGTATCGAAACCATTTTGTACGTTTTATTTCACATGTCGCGTTACTTGAAAATCTGCGCAAGCCTAAACGTGTAATCCATCTCTTATCGCACAATTGTTCTTAGACACATATCGATGCGACTGTAGCAGAAATAATTGAACATTATCCGGCGCAGTTTGCAACACGCCGCGAATACTCCGTCAGGAAAATGGAATCGACGAACGCTGAGATAAGTCTGCAACAGCGTGCGGATAAACTCGATAGTTCATCCGAAAGTCCCCCGTCACCCTGGGAAACTTCATCTTCGATAGCCGATTCGTCTTTTGTGACTCTGGAGTGTGATAACTGCACTTCTACCTGCTCGTATTGCGATTTTGGAACGTTCGCAGATATAAGAGGAGCTTTTTATTTTGAGGATAATTGTCAAGCGAGAAAAAACCCGTATTACATACCAAGAAAAAAAAGGAACCAACCGATATCACTGACGTCCCTCATTTTACATGAAGACGCAAAGTCGCCTAAAACGAACGAAGTCTCGAAGAAGACCGCAGCGAAATCCAAAAGTACGTTTCGAATTCGTGTCCTAAGGCCCAGAATCTTCAATTCACGGCGCTCAATCAAAATACTTACGTACCATTGACGGAATTGCTGACCGCAATTCCTACTTGACAGAGATTTTGTCGACTGCTTGCTTCGCTTCCGAGAATCAAATTTTTAGCCGACCCCGAGAGATCCGGATTAATTTATTGAGTTATTTTATATTTCGCATTCGGGCTAAAATAAATTTGCTTCTAGCAGACAAACTCTTTAAGAATTACTGCCCGTATTCCTCCGATAATTGCGGCTGCAGTTCGGGTTGCACGGATTGCGACTATGGACTCTATTCGTACACAGTTAAGAACAAGAGCAAGTTGAAAAATAACGTCAAGAAACTGTACGTGAGAGCGTCGAGTGGCTTCAGGCCATTGAAAACGTCTGACAGATGTCAACTAACTACGAAATCGTTTGACACTACGAACATTTTGGAGAAGGAAAAAGCGAAATCCCCTAAAAGTATATTGCACATTTGTATGAAACGTTAAGGCCCGGTTTCACCAAACGTCGGTTAACTTTAATCTTAATTTAATTCATGTTTGTCTCTTTCTAAAGTAACAGTTGGAAAGAGACAAAGAACGAATTAAGCTAAGCTCAAAGTTAAACAACGTTGGTGAAACCGGGCCTGAGTGATCCAACACTTTTAGTTATAATATTTTCTAATTATAATACACCATCCGCAATTATGTAGCTTTAATTCGACAGACTCTCGAGTGTTTTACTTTCAGAAATTAACTGTAAAGTTTAAATATGAATTCATTTGAATACGACAGATCAAAACTACTTATCTAATTACTTTATTCATGGAAAAAATAAAGTTGTATTAACAGCATTAAATCCAGCACTGGCAGAATATTCATGAAGCAACGTTGTTTTATTAAAATGAGAGCAGGACGTATCAAATAAAATTAACAAGATTACTTCCAAATAGATTAAACGTCTGTTAATACAACATTATTTTTCTCAATGTACATGCACTGCTTCTGTGTAAATTTGTAGAAAAAACCTCGGACAGCTGCTATCCCGAATCTTCCAGCAATTGTGATTACAAGCCGGACTACGTAAAACGTGATTTCGAACTGTGTGCAACTGAGGGTCGAATAATGAAACCCAAGAAGAAAACATCGGTAAAAATTTCAAGAAAACAAAACTCAACGAGAACTCTGAGAACTCCGAAACTACTCAGGAATAAAAGAGTCTCGAAGAAGAAGGCGACCAAAGTTTCTGAAAGTACGTCACACGCAAATTTCACGTTGTACCTACATTTAAACCCATATTTTTTCAACTTGTAACACTCGAACTATTATGGCTCCCGATGTAGATTCTCGATTATATATTTTTCTTTCAAAAACTACACTGAGAAAAATTTCCATCGGATAAACCAATGAAATAGTATTTTCGATGGTTAATTTTTCCGATTAAATTATGTACATATTCGATGAAATTTATCCGATGAAATGCAGTTACCGATGAAATGTGCTCGGAGAACCGATCATAGTTTTCATCGGATATGCAATTTAATCGGATATGTCCGTTTGTTATTATGTAATTGGATTATCCGATTATATTTGATTGGACATTTTTGTCAGTGTAGACATAAATTGAAATGTTTAAATTTATTATAAGTATTAATATATTTTTATGTTACTTGATTTTATTATTATATATACACATTCTTGTATAAATTTTCTTTTCATAGTAAACCTCAAACAAAACTGGTTTCCCGATTCGCCTAATAGTGGTGACTACAATTCAACTTGTACGGATGGCGGAAAGGACCGGGTTGTTACAAAGAGAAAAAAGTTAAAAAACAAATATGAAAGAGCGAGAGCCTCCACGAATTCGAGAATGCCAGAATTGTCTTCAGTAATCGATGGAGCGGTTACGAATGGAAAGGATTCGAAACAAACAGCAGAAACATTTTCTAAAAGTGCGTTGAAAGAGCTTCTTGAATTTGTTAAATTTTTATAAACGATAATCGTATTACGGTTTAGTTTTATTCTTTGTAGACAATTCTATTACGCAATATAATGTAAATTATTTGTTTTACTACCGAACGCTAGACATGAGTTCAATTACTCTAATATGTTGTTCCAAACTAGTGTTTCCGATGGTTAATTTTTCCGACGAAATGTATCCAATGAAAAGTGCAGTTCGCGATGAAATTTGATTGAAAAACCGATCACATTTTTCATCGGATATACAATTTAATCGGATATATCTGTTTGTTATTATGTAATTGGATTATCCGATTATATTTAACGGACATTTTTCTCAGTGTACTATTAATTATTGTGAAGTATTATTTTTTAATATTATTAATGCATTATTAACTAAATAATTATCTGTATAGAAATACAGATATCATGGATAGATATAATATAGGATTCCTATTTTACAAATTTCTTTTTGTGTTCTAAGGACGTTCACCACGGTACCCGAGCGACTATTCTGAAAATGATCCCCACTTCTCTGGTGAAGATTGATGTAATAACAAGTGCGGAAATATCAATCATATCGCACCAGAAATTGAAGAACTTGCAGAAATTCGAAATTTATTAATTTGATTAGCATGCCATTTAAAATTCCGATAAAATCGAGCCGATAAAACTTTTATCGGAATTTTAAATTTCATGCTAGCCGTCATCAAATTAAAAAACCACAAATTATTTATATTTCCATAAACGACTGAAACATTACGAATGCCCCGTAAGAAGTTGATAGGGAAAAGTCCTCTCTGAGGTAGGTTTCTGATATGAGATTGATATAATAGCAGGTTGTCAAAATCGAAATTCAACTGTGAATCTTTTTTTGCAATGATTACACAATCTAACAATGAATTTTCCATCTAAACAGACCAAGGGCAAAAAATTCAGAATGGCACCAATTGGTCGACGCTTGTTAATTACCAGAAACCTCGTTGTCTCATTAGGAAGCTTCCCTCTATTAATTAATGACATGTAATGTCACACGCGAACAAGATATGTTAAAATAAAGCACTACATTAATATCGTTACATATATTATGTATATTAAGTTGTATGTATAATATACAATAATATATTGAGTTGTAGGTATAATATATTATAATACATGTACACACATATTACATATACTATTGTATATTATCAATCTGATATATTACATCTATTTATTTTAACATATTTTATATAATTTGTTATGCGTAATAAATATCGGTCAATGGGAAAATTATTATGTACGCGATTTACCATGTAATTACTATTAAACAAATCGCTGCTTTATGTGAGTGAGTATTGATAGAAGAGAAACATTTTAGCCAAGTGACATTTCTCATCTTAATCAAACTGTACTCGTTGCGTCCCTTAAAAAAAAGATGTATTAAAAAATGTATAAATAACAAATAAAATATTTTGCATAGAATGTGGAAAGTTCCTATATTTAATCAAAGTAGCTTCGCGTTATCGCAGATAATTCCTTTTTACACGAAGCGGAGTTGTCCTCTCTCCCTCTTTCGCCCCGACGAAACTCGAGGCTTTCCCTCCCACCGGCGGAGACGCTTTCCGCGGGAATTTCGTGCTTCGTTTCGACTCGGCGCCCGGACGGGCCCCGATTAAAACGGTCACAATACAAGTTAATCAGACACAACGGGAACCGTCGGCCGGGGGTAAATTAAATTAGTCCTCCCGCGCCGCTCCGGGGCGACGTGTACGCGCGCAGAGAGCGGCGCGCAGCTGGAATGCGATTACGTAACGCAGATAAAATCGAAATAAGAGATTACCTCGCACAGATGAGACGGGGAGGACTGAAATCCCGCAATGACATGCAAATATTTAGATAAGATTGTCTACGCCATGTAACGGTGCCCGTACACGCGCGCGTTCTCTCTCTCTCTCTCTCTCTCTCTCTGCGGGCGCGTGTTTGTGTATGTACATGGAAGCGCTATTATCGCGCGAATAATGAGGCATGGGCGTACGACACTTGCGCACGACTATTTTAGCGCGCGGAAATAACACCGTTGCAAAACAAAGTGTAGCATCTAAAATTACCGATGGAAAGAAAACATTAAAAAGCGCTCCAACGAAGAAGCATTAATTCCGGTATAAAAATAATATCGCTCTTTCATTCTCTCTCGCACCCACGCACACGCGCCCTCTCTCTCTCTCTCTCTTCCCCCTCTCCCTCCCAAATGCTTACATAATCACTGAGAATAAATAATCCCGGAGCATTAAAAGTAATATCATCTCCTCGCGCCGCTCCGATCATATTACTTATCTCATATTACTTAGACGAGCGTGCATAACGGTGCAACACGGATTGCCGTTTTGCATCCGAGAGACAAACGCGGCTGCAAGGTGTTTCCCCGAGAACGTAACGCGGGGCGTAAGAGCGTGGCCGGGAAAAACGGGGCGGTGCACCCCGCGGGAGAACGCGCTTGTCCCGACTGTCGCGGCGAGAAGGCGGGAGTGCAGCCGGAGGGAAAACCTGCGGAGAGAGAAAACCGGTCACGTGCGCCTGTGCAACGTGCCGCCGGCTGTTCTTGGGTTCACGGCCCGGCTCTACCTTGCCACCGCAACTAGAAGTTGTGACATAATAGGCTCTCGCCAATCACCTACACCGCGTTCGCACTAACTGCCGAGGCCGGCGAGCGCGCGCGGGGCCAACGCAATTGCCTACGCGGTGCGATGTTCATCGATATGAATAAATATTAGACTAATACGGGGAAATTCTTTGAAAAAATCGACCACCAAGTGGCTTAAATATACATCACTTTTTACGCCAGTTTGGTCGATTTTTTAAAAGAAATCCCGTTAATTTCCCGTGTTATTTGTTAATTACCACTGGCGACAATAAGCTTCACTCAATTTGGTTTATTAGACTAATGCTCGTGTCAGTGTGAAGCGGCAGACGCCAGATGATACTGCCTCATTACCTTAAATATTACCGTTAGTCGGTATATTAAAAATATAAAATATTATATACCGTGCAGGAAGACATTGTACACCGGAATTCTGGCATTACTCCGTTTTCACCGAGGAGGAAACCGCTGAGGGCATTGCGGTGTACAGATTTGCGGCATTACTGGGCATTACTAGGCAGCTTTTGGGCATTAGGCCTTGCTGAGGCGTTATAAAGATAAAATAAGATAATAAGATAAAGTAATGCCCGCTGGGAATTAGTGGGCATTGGTGTGCAAGATTTTGGTCCGCGGTTTCCCCCTCGATTTTTACGGACTGACTTAGACCGCCTTTCCCGTTCTCGATCAAATTTCCCAGAATCGCGCGGCGTCTGTTGTGTGTTAATCGCCCTGCGACCGTCGGGAAAAAAAAAGGAAAGCGAGGTAACGAATTACGTTAGACAAAATAGCGAGGAATCGTTAGAATTACGCTCGCGCGCGTGCACTTGCCGAATCTAGGACGTGGAAAGTAACTGTTTATATTAACATTACGGTCTTTCCTTTTTTTCTCTCCCCCTCCCTCGCGCCCGATGACGCAAGCGCGTCGCTTCGGAGACTTCGCGGGGAATATAAATGTTCCGCGTTTTATGGGGCGGTGAATTTTCTCGGCGATTACACGGCTACGGCTACGGCCGTGTAGGATAATGAGAATTAATTTTAGATCCCGGCTTCGCCGCGGCGAATATTTCTGTCGCTAGTTTTACCGTTAACGATAATTTCGCTCGTTTGCGGCGGCGTTACGACACTTCGCTAGGCCGGCCGCTCGCGCGAGTTGGGTAAGACAAATCCCGCAAAGGTCTCCGCGTCCAGTCACATTGTTCAGAGACCAGGTGGGAGCACTTATGCCGGGATAATGGCAATGTTTATAACGTATAATTAGTGCCTTAGTTGCGCTATCATGCGTCATTTCTCCGCCGCGCCGAATCGAAATCGATACATCGAGAAGTAAACTACGAAACATTCGTCGCCGAAGATAACGAAGAAACATATACGTGACGTAAAATATGTAAATCGCAGCGATATCAATTCGATCGAAGAGAGAGAAATGAATAAACAAAAAATATCATTTAAACGTAACGTAAACAATTCCAAGAAAATTCGAGGATCCCGGAAGAACGCAATTCGGCAGCGGTCCACTTGTCGACGGAATCCAGGTGCGTAAAATTCTGAGTAAACATATACCTCACGCAGATGTCTCCCGAGTAATTCTGCATCCTCCGAGTCTCTGAAATTACCGAAAGGCCACTTTTGGCGCGAGAATCGAATAAGTAACGGTTCGTCCGCGTCGAATCCGTCGGCGCGAATCGCGTTGACCATGGAGTGGCCAGAAGATCCAACAAATTCACGGGCGGTACTTCGAGGGTTCCGCGAAATTTACGACGGGCATTACGAGCGGATTTGCGCGAGGCGCATCTCGCGCGCATCACCGCCTCCGCACAGAGCGGACTATTTTTAAGGGGACGCTGCAGTGATTCTGCACTTTTGGCACCTTTCGCTCCTGGAACTGTCAATTCGTGAAAACATTTGTGTAATATACAAATTGTGCAGCTTTTGTGTACGGACCGACAGTGTTCGACTATTCGGACTAAATCAGAGAACGGCATATGGTATCACTGAAATTAAATTTTGGAGTGACTTTCGACTTCTTGTTAAGCTCCTAAACTTAATTTCAATGATACCATGCTGTTCTCTGATTTAGTCCGACTAGTGGAACACTGTCGGTTTTTACACAAAAGCCACATAATTTGTATATTACGCCAATTTTTTCACGAATTGACAATTCTAGGAGCAAAAAGTGCCCAAAGTGCAGAATCACTCCAGCATCCCCTTAAGCGTGCCGTTATATTATACGACGCGAGTCTCCGGCGCGATATCGAATCGCCGAGGCTTCCATTATTTCTGAAGCAGTCTTGCGCGCTACTTTTGACTCGAATCAGAACGTTCTTGCCTGCTGGGCGCCCCGAATCGCGGAGTACCGCTACTCGGGAAAGATATCCCTTTCATCCACGTACGATCAACGATTAGAACCGAATTTCTCCTCGACGAGCACGCGCGAAGGCAGGAGAATTCCGGCGCGTCCGTCCGTCCGGCCAAACGCGTTTCACGTGCACGATTACACGCACGTGTCCGTTTACACCAAGTGTTTCGTGACGCCGAGTCACGCGCCTCCCTCGTGTACGGCCACCGCGCCCGGGCGAAGAGTCACGGCTGCAATTACGGGTCGGGGGGGACCCGCACGTGTCCACGCGTCGCGGCGCCTTTCCTGACGCAATGCTTTTATCGGGCCGCTCGGTATAACGTGATCGCCGGTACACGTGGTGAACGCGAGATCCTTATGTAAGAGAGCTGTAGAGCGAGTTACGGATGCGCGTACATCCGAACGCGTGTATCTCCACGAGTAGCAGCGCGCGGCGCCCCACGCCTCCCCGCGAGTAGAGTCCCTCTAATCAGAGTCTGGCCCCGACGGGCCAGTTTCGGCAAAATGATGCGAGAGAGAAAGAAATGTACTCCCTCTCACTCTACATACGGCATATGCGTTACGTTATCATTATTGATTTTGCATTTGTCCGGGCGAAAAATTGTTTCGACGCGGCAATCGAGATCCTCTTTCTAGGAAGCGGAAGACTGAGATTGACGAGCGGTCCATTGCACGCTACGATCGTACGAAGCGCGATTTCGGTCGCCTCTCGCGGGTACACGGAGAGAATGTTCTCTTAAAATTTAGCCTGAAAATCACGTGATTTTGGGAGGATTTGGCATTTTGGGGAATTTTGTGTAAGTTTCTGGAAATTTTACCGTACAATTTACTAGTAAAATGTGTGCTAAGTAAAAGTAAAATTTCAAAAGCCTCTCACGAAATTTTGAAAATGCCATGTTGTCCCACAATCACATGATTTTCAGGGGAAATTTTAACAGAAAATTCTCTCCGAGTAGAGTCCCTCTAATCAGAGTCAACAAGAAATATATTCCCTCTCGCTCTACATGACGCATATGCCTTTAGCTGAGTGAGAGGAAATATATTTCCGTCTCTCTCGCATCATTTTGCCGAAACTGCCTGTTGGCCAGACTCTAATTAGAGGGACTCTGCCCGCGAGAGGCGGTCGAAATCGCGCTTCG